CATCTCTCTGACGTCCTCCAATTCTCTCTGCAGAATCAAAATTTCCTTTGCTACAGAAAAATAAAGGGAAGGCAAATTAATGCAGCTCTAAACACAAAAATAATAAGAATAAACTTTTATTTTGTTGAGCTGCTCACTTACTTAGTTCTTTGTTTTTCTCCTCACGATTCAATTGTAAAATCTTCTTTGTCAGGAGCTCACTCTTTTGTTTCATTTGCATCTGGTAATCTGAAAAGGAAACAAGAATATAAGATTAGACAAAATCTACATCTTACATGTATCTATATAACGATGAGATCTCAGGACACATGGGTTGGAGACTCACCAATATAATTAGTTCTGGATTTGTCAATGTGGGCACTGATGAGTCTCTGTGCCACTGCAATCTTACTGTGCACAGAAATCACCTCCAGCACTAGAGGGCAATGCACAGAATATGTGTCAGGAAAGTTAAGGTTAGTCAGGTTAGTTAATATTGTTAATGATAAGTGAAATTATAACAGATACTAACTGGCTGAGCTGACATCTCCTTGTAGTCGCAGCTCCCTGAGCTTCGCGTTCAGTTGTTTCTGTAGAGCTGATGAAGTGAAAGTGGTGAAACACATGGAATAAAATGCTGAAACATAGATACATTCGAGCAGAAGATAAAAGGTGACATTTAGTTAAAATAAGACTGAGACTTAAGTCACTGCAGTAACAAATGATAAACTACGAGATTGTGTTAAATGTTTAACTATTTCTAAACACAGACGATAAACAAAGATGGATGACATGTCTCCATTTCCTCCTTCTATCCAGAAATGAAGATTAAATATCTTAGATACGAATGCTGATACGAATTTCTGCCCATTACCGATCAGCGGATGGAGACTTGCTAGCAAGATCCCGCTGGTACACATGCTCAGCTGTCGATCATTTTTATAGCATCGAAAATTTGAATTAAAGCCAAACTTACCTGAAAAAGAGCACTTAAAGAAACGTCTATATGATAAGAATGACCAAATATGACAGAAACCAACTTTGATGGTTAACTTTGGTGGTATTTGACCGCTTACTTTGGTCCATGACCCATCTGCTAACATGGAGGAGCAGGGTTTATGAGCTATACTGCAGCCAGCCACCAGGTGGTGATCGAGATGCTTTGGCATACTAGGGGATCTGGGATGTTCTTTATTTATAATTTATGCTCTTGAACTGCAAAATGTAGCTGAATTTGGCCAAAGCCCATTTAGGCTATTTCTCTAAATAGTTAAGTTACACCTCATGGTTACAAAACATGATCGCTAACATTAGCCACTTTTAGTCAATGGTCATACCACTAACCAGTGTATTGAAATGAGCAACCCTGTGTTTTATTTCCAAAGAATCTGCACTTGTTTTATATACAGGAGAAAAAAACATGTTTAAATGAACATAGTTTCACCTCAAATGTATTGAATCATTGGCAGATTATTTTCATAGCTTAACATATACAAATATTTCTCTTTGACTTTACCAGCAATTCTATTGTCCTGCCGAAGAACAGTTTCTCCTCTTCTTGACTCTTCCAACTCTAAATCCCAGATCTGAGTTTGCAGTGAGATGATCTGAAGAACTTAACACACACACAGATGGATCAGTAACTTCTACTCAGTTGCTCCATGTCATGCAAATAAAATAAAAAATGCTCTTACTGAGTGATGAGTTTGAGTGTTGTTTGTCCATTTGCTGCTTCTTAGCTAACAGATCGTTCATCTTTGCTTGCATCTCATTGTGTAGCACTACAAGACACAAGATGTGACATCATAAAATCAATCACACAGAAGCTCCCAAGGGGATAAGCTTCAAAACTATCAAGCAGCGATACGGGAGTGAAAATAAAACAACACTCACCTCTGGTTTCAGTTTCAGTAGAATTAGTAGCCAGTTTGATCCTCCTCTGAAGTGTTGTTACCTCCCTGGTTAGTGCAAGGACTTTTAGAACTAGAAAATAAACACAATTTGATAAAGAATCAAAAAGAAGCTGTGACTTGTACTAAAGAACAATAGATCGAGCTAATACCAATGCCCTATCTTATAATGTAAAAGTAAATGTAAAAGAAAGTCCTAGATCCTTAACTGAATCTGCCTTCCAGTTGGTGGAGTTGAAAATGTGTAGTTTTATTCACTTACTTACTCAGAAAATTATCACTGTCAGTTGTCTCCAACAGTTGTTTCATTTTATTGTATAGCTGGGTTTGATAAGCTGTCAGTGGAATAAGAGACACATTTTAGTTTTTATTATCTCCACATATGACTGTATATGAAGTGCAGTTTACTTACAGCCAGTAACAGCTGAGGCTGTTGAACTGCATGAAGCAAGTTGCATTTTCAGCAGCCTGATGTCCCTTCTCAACACAAAGGCTTCTTCATCTGACAGAGTATGAAGAGGGTAAAGTGTATCAGGGCAACAGTAAAATCCCGCGAGCCCTAATTCATAACACAGAGTTCTAAAAGACTGAATACTTGCCTCGTTGATTGTTACGGAGTGTTGTCTCCTGAAGCTGCCTGTTCAGCAATGTCATCTGTTCCTTCATATCTGACAACCAAGATGATACAATTTAAGTCAGCAAAACATAAAGAGAAAAGAGACATCACACTATGTTTACACAATGTTATAGTCAGTAGGGGATTTCTTAATTGTTTTCCACAGAAGACGTCACCCACATCCTATCACCTACCAACACAACCTCTCAAGGAACACCTTTATGAGGTGCAGGACACAGCAGGACACGTCGATCATGATATTTATGGATGTTTTAGCGGCCACCAATGCAGGTAGGTGTGCGAGTATTGGAGGGAGAGGCAGAGCGAGGCAAAGAGAGCTGGCCTGTTGAGGTTAATGCCAATCGTTTGAACTTTAAAAATGACGCAGCACATCTTGGGATCAGGTGATGCTGAAATGTTGGTTATGTTGGTTATGTTTGGTCAAGAGAAAGACACCCCCCTCATGCCCATACAAATCACTGATTATGATCACTGCACTGTTGAAACCCACCAAGTACTACATAGGTACAAATAACCACTCACCAGTGCAGGTTCCCATAGTTACTGACTGAAAGAGAAGAAAACATAATTGATTACTTAATAAATATAAGAGGAGGCAAAGAAAAGATTTCCTATGAGTTACTACAGGAACATGAGAAGTGCTTCTGACTTACCGTGAAATGTATATTCTTGGGATCAATTCCTTCTGGTAAAGTTATCTGAAGCAAAAAAAGTAGAAAACATTGATACAACTTAAAACTTAATGCTAACTGTGACATGAATATATTTATCTAGTTTGATGAATCACAGTTTTGGGGACTCACTGGGATCTTTGAAAGGATAGAATCCACATTTGCATTTCCTGTACGGTTGATAACACCTTTCACTACCTGATGGACTGAGAAAAATCATCATAAACAATCAACTGAATGCATTTGTCCTATGTGCTGTTCACTAACTGAATGTAGTACAAATGGAAATATGTCCCTTACCATGTCTGCAGTCAGACGCTTTAAAGACACCTGAGAGAAGCAGGGGAATCCAAATGAAGTGAGAGCCTCCAGCCATTGCACTGGGTGTCTTCTTTCCTAAAATGTTTCCTTCCATCAGCAGTTCTACACCTTATCACTGCAGGTTTCTGATCAATATCTGGGAATGGGTATGTCTGGTTTCCCAAAATGGGAGTTGCATTTTTCACAATATTCCAGTCACTCTTTTTATCGTCAGTAAACATTGAGGTAAGGTCAGCAGTGGTGCCAGTACAAACAAAAAAGTATTTAATAACAGGGTTTTATAAAACATGATAAGTAAGCTTACACTAGATCTAGTATCACATTCTCATGAATTAACAGAACAAATGCTTTGTCGAATTAAACAACTTTTTTAAACATAGCTGTTCATTCACCTTAGATTTTTTTCATGTGACAAATCCTGAAGTAATGATGATAAATTCTGCCAGTGGGAGGTTGAAGGTTGACTTGCACATTTATTTACACTGAGTGTTTGATTAAAGTGAGTAAAAACTAATATTGTGCTCTTCTGCTGGCTTCACAATATGTACACTGTTTACTGTGTACTATGTAAATGCAAGATCTAAATGTGCTTCTTGTTACTGGCCATGGCCGACAGTTTAATAAATATAGAGCTTTAACAATTTCTTGTGATATTTGCAACATGGTTTTACATGTTTTAGTCTATTAGTTATTAGTATCCATCTATTAGTTTCAAACATATCAAGCCCTTTGCAGGCAGGTAGAGTTACAGTGTTCCATGTTTAGAAGACATGGACATCTGTAAATACCTCAGTGATGACAACATACAGTATACATTTACTTACACTTTGTCTACATAAAGAATTTATCTTTATTAAATATAATAGTTGAATCCACAAAAGGAGGGTACTGCTTTTATGAACAAAAAAGACTTCCACTTGTCACTGACTGTTACATAAATGTCATTGCACTGGACTAAGACTGCCCACTGGTCTGAATGTGTAAGAATGATGAACAAACTGACTTAGTGTTGTAATTTTGTACATATATATTCATATAAAAAAAAGTAAAGCTCATGTATCGGAAAAGACTGACCAGACGTTATCCAGGTCTCTTTGAGTTGCCAGTGACCACAAGGTTAGACAACTGGACAAAGTAGGGACCACATCAATGTCTAATAAAAACAACACTAAACCAGATAATAACCTAACCCTGAGCATAGGCCTATCCCAACACATAACAGGCCATTGAACAAGTTGCTCCTTTATTTTTTCTTGGTTTACAGTATTCGGTGTTGTGTATGCAGGCTCCCCTTAAAGTCCATCTGCTGACAAAGATTGAGTACAGGATTTCTGTCCAGATCAGCCATGCATCACCAACCAGAAGTTAGAGAGCTGGAGAAAAAAGCCAATTTGCAAGAGAATGATTAATAAATAATTAATGCATTTCTAGTCACTCAAACTTGAAGGTCCAGCGATACAAATTAAAAGGCTTTTTTTGTTTAAATGGTAATCATAAACCCAATGTCAAAATAACTTCTTTAAACTTTACAGAACCTTTATTGACCTTACCAATTTGGCAGGCTTTTAAGGTTCATTTGTAATGATTAATATGTGCACTCACTAATTCTCCTTTGCTAAAATCCAAACTGTTCAACTTTATCTGTGATTTATTTTGTTGCAAGATTTTCATGCTAATCCTGGACAAGCCTTTTGTTAAACATACATTTCTTTTAGTTTTGTATCTAAAAAGTTCTGTACAACAGTGGATATATTTTGGGATGCCTTTGGAACATGGGTTTGGGATCCAAACAGAAATCGTTGGAGCAACACAGTGCAAATGTCTGGTGGAAGGGTAGCAATGGCTGAGGTTTCTTTCAGGATCCCTCTTGTTCAGCCACTTGTGTCCCACTAAGCTCCGCAATATATTTTTAATTGGTGATATTGGACACAATATACAAATAATCCACGACTCATATGCCCTGTTGCACTTGAAACATTTTATTATTCATTCGAAAAAAAGACAAAACCTTTCCTGGTGTTTTGTTAATTGGAATAAATCTTGATGCCAAAAAAAGGCAATAATCCCCATACTAATCTGCCAACAGAAACAGTACATGAGGGATGATACCATGGGAACAATTAGCTTTGCATGCTTAAGGAGAGAAAGAAATGCATGTGGTGACATGGAGACATGTTCCTGCTGCCAAAGATAATGTTGCTACTGTAGCAACATTATCTTTGGCAGCAGGAACATGTCTCTGCAGATCACCCAGGAGTTTTAAAATGATTTAACAGAATCATTGAAGCTCTTTGGAGTCGGCAGTGCAGGCCCAGCACACAATGATTGGTCAGTAAAGCATTCATTTCACCAGGAAAAGTGCAGTTTTGTCCTTTATGATGATATTGCAACAGTTTCACAGCCACAGCCCTTAAATCTACACCCTTCCCAGGAAAATACTACACGATTTAGTCTCATAACTACAAACATTGTTAATATGACAGTAAAGTATTTAATCCTGAGTAAAGCAGCCTTCAATAACACACAGGACAAAATTCATTTTTGCATTGTGTGTTGGCTTAGAATTAAACCAACTGTATTATTATTGACATCTTAAATTTGAAGGGCGGCTTTATATAAGGAATTAAAAAAGGGTGATGCTC